ACCTGGTGCTTTTCCAGCGCCTCATCCTCTGCCACTGTGTTTGGTTTGCTGCGTTCTGGGATTTGTCATAAATAAACAATGCTGGGGGCAGGGCAGGAAGGGGAGCCTGGGGGCGGAGCTCCTCCCGGCACCTGGCTGATGGGCGTGGCAGCGGGCAAGGGCCGCCTTTGCAACACAGTTATCACATGTGTCAAACACAAGGCCCGCGGGCCAAATCCGTCCCGCCAGGCCTTGCAATGTGGCCCGCACCGCGCTGTCATCACTGCACTCCGCTGCGTTTCCATCACAATGACAGTTTATGACTGTTCAGTAAACCATTCGGCCCGCGATTTAGGCTGGATTTTAGATTTTGGCCCCTTCTCTGATTGAGTTCGACACCCCTAGCTCAGCCTCTCACCAGACCCTCTCTCCAAAATCCCTCTGGGTGAGACGGAGAAGGTATCTAAGGAGCAATTGCTGACATGAAATCCACGTGGCCTCGGCTCAGCTCGGCACTCGAGTATTCAACGAGGTAGCAGCTGGCCACTCGGAGGCAGAGGCATAACAGATGTGGTCAAGCGAAAGTCTGATGAGGTCCCATGGAGCAGCTTCTGCAAGGTGTTCCAAGCATCTTTTCGATACTCGCACGCAGATGCGCAGATGCCGTAGGGATTTCCCAGCCACCTCTGCGTCTCGGAGTGGGGACGCACAGTCTGTGTCAAGTAGAACATTCCGCTTGGCCTGCTGGGTGGGCGTCTGTCTTGGCTGGGGGTCCCTTACACATGGGGGTCTGGGATCTCCTTGGGGGTCATTTGTTGATCTTAAGGGAATCTTTCTGCCTCTGCGGGAGACCTCAGAGGAGACTGTTGGTCAGGACCCAGGGCTCCTCTACTGCATCTGCTGTGAGGGGAGCGAGGGCGCGGGGATGGGGACAGGCAGGGTCCTAACCCTGCTTTTGGTTGAAGGTTGAAGCTCAGACGAGGTAAGCCACCTGTTGCCAGCAAGGAGGAGGAGAACCAGCAGTGCTGATGGAAGGGCAAATTCTGCCCAGTGTCCTGGCCGGAGGGCAGCACTGGGGGCCGCGTGGGGCAAGAATGAGGTGGTGAGAACACACCAGCCATGCTCGGGGCTATTCTGGAAGACTCCAAAGAAGAGCATCTGTTTCTGGGGCCACTTTTGTGATTGGAGGTGGACCCCATGGCAGTGGACACCAACTGAGGGACTTTGAAGTGTGGGAAGCAGTGAGGAGGAGGCCAAGAAGGGCACAGGGCAGGCCAGGAGGTCCTGCAGGGAGGGAAGATGCCTTCCGGGGCTCAGGTGAGAGGGAACAGGTGACATTGGGACCTCACTGTCGTGGTCACCCTTGCTGAAGTGCTTGAGCTGGTCCTAGGCTTCCTTCCAGGTTCGGCGGCTCTGCCATCCTTTCTGAGCGGTGGACAGGATGAAGTCCCTTGACCGGCCATGGTCCCGCTCCTGACTCCCATGCTGCTCAGAAGCTCACATTCCGGAGAGCTGGGCAGCAGCCCTGCCAGGCCCAGCGGGCAGGGCAATATCTAACTCCATCGGCCGTAATGTGTCCAAAAAGGAAGGGAGCGTAGCCTGGCCTGCTTGCCTTCCCACGGGCCATGTTGGCTCCTGAAGACTGTCACATACCCTCCCACGTGCTTGGAAACCGCCGCCTGTCCAGGATGGGTGCCCTGGCCTGGGCCCTGTCGCCTCAGGGAGTCCTCCCAGCCAGCTCCCACCATCCGCCTGGAGCTCTGTCCACATCTGTGCACACACTCTCCCAGATAGCAGGCAGCGCGGGCCTCCGCATGTTTCTGTTCCAGTTCTCTGAGCTGTAACGCTTGGCTGGGCCTGGGAGCAGCTGGCCACTCTGGAGGCAGCGACAGAGCAGACTGTGGTCCGAGGAAAGGCCTGGACAGCAGGTCCCAGGGAGAGCGTGTGGTCTGGAGCCCAGATGCCGTCACTCTCCTCACAGAGCTGCTGGCTCCTGCTCCCCTCCTGCAGGCGGCCGAGGCCAGCATCTCCACATGGCTGGTTGTTCTTTCCTTCAATGAAGGGCGATTCTGCTGAAGCAGGAAGTGAACTCCCACCGGTTGATCTAATGGCCTCGAGTCCTGAAGTGTTTGCTCTGTGTGAAGGCAGGGCCAGCCTTTCTGGGCAGCTGCTAACGGCCAGCACATCCGGGAGCTGCCTTTGGGAGGGTGTGGCGGGGAGGGGGGCCTCCATTCCCTGTCAGACCCTAGATCCACACAATGGGACTGCATGTCAAATGGGGCTAGGGAGGTGGTGGGTGACAGAGAGGAAGCCGTGAATCCAGCCTGGAAGTCTGTTGTCCTGTGGCAAGTTCCCTCCACCTCTGGCCCATTGTCTTCCCATCTGAGAAACGTGGGTGTAGAGGGGGTTCTGGCTGGATGACTCCCATCAACTCGGCACCTCCCTCAGCTGCTCCACCACCCTCTCCCAGGGCTTTGGGGTGACTGGGCTCTATGGTGAGGAAGGTGCATCTTCCCTGAGCAAGATGTGTTCTCTCTCAATATCCCTTTCTCTCTCTGTCTCTCTCTGTCTCTCTCTGTCTCTGTCTCTCTCTCTCTCTCTCTCTCTCTCTCACACACACACACACACACACACACGTGCAGAGGGCCCTGCCAGACAGTGGTCACTGTTGCTGCCTTGAGCCAAGGGCTCAGGGGAGCTGCTCAGATCCAGGCGTGTTGCCTGGGAAGCAGGTATATTGCTCCTTTGTGACCACTCACACCCACAGACCAGGTGGCCAAACCTGGACGTTATCCAAGCGGCCAGGCCTCTGACTGTGCCCCACCTGCAGGGAGGGGTGAGGGCAGGACAGAACACAGGCCTGAAATCGAATCCTGTGTGACGATGGGCACCAAACCTCCTCAGCGTCCATTTCCTTACGTGTAAACTGGGGGTGATACCGTCGACCTCAGAGAGCACCGGAGCACCCTGCCTGTCCAATAGCTATCCGTGGCGGTTCTCATCGCTCCTCACCCCGGCTCACACTGGGGAGCAGCCCTGGCTCCCGGCCTCGGAGCTGCTGACATTCTGTCTGCTGGAGGCAGCCCTGCCGTCGGGTTCTGGGATCCAGAATCCTTGGGACTGAAGGGCTTCCCGGGATGTGGGACTTTCAGTGCTACATCCAGGACAGCCTCTGCACACCTACAACCGGGACAGCCTCTGCACACCTACAACCGGGACAGCCTCTGCACACCTACAACCGGGACAGCCTCGGCACACCTACAACCGGGACAGCCTCTGCACACCTACAACCGGGACAGCCTCGGCACACCTACAACCGAGACAGTCTCTGCACACCAGGGTGGCTCGTGAAGCCACTGAGGGCTTTTGGACAGGGCCGGGGGAGCTGTGGCTTTGCGGGGTGAGGCATCAGAAGGACTCACAGGTGGGTCATGAAAGACACAGAATTGGACTCAAATGAGGGACAGCATCCTCAGAGTCAGCACACCCGAGATGGAAGAGCTATGTCTTTCAATGTACTCAGCCAAGAGCTGAAGGACCACTCGGAGGGGATTCTGTGGGCGGAGCCAGAGCCCTAGAGGGGGTGCTGGACTAAATGCCCATCGAGGCTTCTTTCTGCCCCACGTTGTACCCAGTTTCCATAGAGGGGCGGAGGGAACCCCTGGCTAGCCCAAGGATGGAATGATGTGATGAGCCTTTTCCCTGGCAGGCTGGGGGTGGGACAGGGTGGGTGGGGGGACTGGCTGCAGGTTGTAACTGGGCTTTCTTTTTAATATATTTTATTGATTTTCCTTTTTCTTTTTTTTCTTTCTTTTTTTCTTTCTTTTTTTTTTTTTTTTTTTTTTTTTTTTTACAGAGAGGAAGGGAGAGGGATAGAGAGCCAGAAACATCGATGAGTGAGAAACATTGATCAGCCACCTCCTACACATCTCCCACTGAAGATGTGCCCGCAACCAATATACATGCCCTTGACCGGAATCGAACCTGGGACCCTTCAGTCCGCAGACCGACGCTCTATCCACGAGCCAAACTGGTTTTGGCTGTAGGTGGACCGTTCCCCAGACCCTTAGAAGAAGGAGGAGGGCATCTTCTCCTGCAGAGGAAAATCATTGGGAGAGTTAGCTACTCCCTGTCCCTCTCCAGCAGCGGGGAGCCAGGCCTCTGGCCTGGGGGGTGGTCAGACATCTGTTGGACCCACAGACCTGGTCTGGCCTGGCCCAGAGAGGACACTTCTTTCCCCTGGGGCCTCCCCTGGCTACCACCCAGGTCCCTCCAGAACAGCTGGCCGCCTCCTAACCCCTGTTGGGGTAGGACGGTGGATAACCCGGCTGCAGAAGCCACAACCCAAAACTCCCGGGTCTCCGCCAGGCCTGTCCACCAAAACGCCTGCCCCCCAGGTGCGGGAGCTGGAGGGGGTACTGCTCACAGCTGGGCGACTGGCCTCTGCAAGCTCCTCTCCAGCCTGGGTGGGGTCGCCGGGGATTTGCATGTGCTGAGCGTGTGCCAGTACAGTTTAGGGCATCAGGAGCCTCTTCCCCTCGGAGACTAGGTGGGTGGGGCCCTAGAGATGGCCAGAGTCCTGAAAGGAGCTGCTGAAGGTGGCCCCTTGTCTCTGATCTCTGGAGCCACCTCCTTCTTGGCTTCCTGGGAGCCGCCCAGTGCCCCTGCCTTCTTCCTTCCTTTCTCCTGGTCTCTGCTGCCTCAGTCACTCTCCGGTGCGCTTCTAGTCTCTGATTTTTTTCTCCCTGAATTCCTCTCGCCGCTGTGGCTCGGCCCCAGGGAGGTATCTCCCCGTCCCCGTCCCCGTCCCGGTGGTCTCTGTCTGGTCCGCAGTATCTCGTGTCTCTCGCGCGGTCTCTGTGCGTCTCTGCACCGGAGCGGCGCGGGCTGGAGCGGCTGCGGCCGGGCGGTGCGGGCCCGCGGGGGCGGGCAGGGCGCTCGCTCGCTGGTCCCTCCCCGGCGGGCGGCGGGGGGCCGGCGCGGCGGCCGCTCGGCGCCTTTAAGGAGCGGGCGGGAGCGGGCGGCGGCGGCTGCGGTGGCGGCCGCGGAGCGCGCGGGGTGGGGGCGCGGGGCGCGGCGCTCGGAGTCCGCTCGGGCCGGAGGCGGCTCGGAGCCGGGGGCGCAGCCCGGGAGCCGCGAGGAGTCGGGCAGCTCGGCGGAGCCCGCCGCCGGGACATGGCCCAGGCGGGCCGTGCAGGTGAGGGCGGGCGCCGGGGGCAGGGCCGTGGCTCGGGGGAGGGACCCCGCGGCCCGAAGGGAGGGGGGCTGCGGGGCCAGGTGAACCGCTTGCTCGCGCAGGTGGGCGTTGGCCCCCGAGGGCGCGGGGGGCGGCGGCGAGGCCGGACCCCGGCGCGTGCAGAAGGGGCTCGGCGCGCCCCGCGTCCTTCCTGCGTCCACAGTCACCTCGCGGGACACCGCGTCCCCCTGGCCACGGCCCCGCTGTGAGGGGCCGGGGCTGCTGCGCCCTGTCCAGCCAGGCTGGGGGCGCCCTGACCGCCTTCTGGAGATAGGGCCAGCCCGGGCGCGGGGGCTGGGGGGCTGTCCCGCGGCCGCTGCTCCATCCCATGCTCCCCAAACCGGGGCGCCCCCCACGTCCTGCCACTCGCTCTATCCAGGACGAGACAGTCCCCCGCCCCCAGCTCAGGCAGGAGAGCAAGGTTCCTTCCTGGCCAGGAGGGTTGCCCCACGCCCCATCCTAGGGACCGTCCCGCCCCCTCCCCCCACAGGACCCGAACCAGGGGAGGCAGAGAGAGCCTCAGGTGCGCAGGTCTGAGGGTACCACCTCTTCTGGGGTCCTGCGGGGCGCTGCCCTCCCTCCAACTCGAGCGAGCGGTGTAGCCTGCGGTGCGGGGAAGTGGGCGGTAGTCATTCGTTCACTCATTCAGACAGACGTTCATTCACCAACATCTGCTGTGTGCCAGGTCCTGCGCTGGCGCTGGGGATGGGAGGAGGACCAGACTCTGCCCCCATGCACACTCCCCGCTGGTGCCCTGGGAGGCCCGGGTGGAAGAAAGCCCAAAAGGCTGGCTGTACTGTGTGTGTGGCCAGCAAGCCGGGCCTCAGCAGAGCTGGCTGGTGAGGCTGGTATGTGGGAATAGATCTGCCATGAACTCATAGCCAACCTGTGACGTTGGTAGGTGCCATGCCATGCCATCCCCTGGGACTAGGCATTGGCCTGGCACAAACCCCACAGCCCTGCCCGTAAGTGATGAAAGTGATGGAATGCGTGAATGTGTGAGTTCGTGTGTGTACATACTCAGCGTGCCTACCACCGGGCTGTGCGTACATCCACTGCACCCCGCAAAAGCTGCCACAGACCCTGGGCTGGGTTTGCATCTCCCCTGAATACCACCGGGGTGTAGGATTTAGCCGCCTGAGACTAGATTCCCAATTCTGTCCCCCAGGAGTCCTGTTGGGGTGGGGCAGGTTGTGTGAGACACACAATAAGGGAGCACATTTAAACACTCCCTTTCTCACTTCCCTACCTCCTCCCCCCTGGGGGAGGCACAGTGAGATGACACCATTGGGGCTGGAAAAGGTTCTCTCTCTCTCTCCTTCCCCCACTGAGCTGGGTCCTTACCCAACTTCACTCCTCCCAAAGGGCACAAGACAGGGTGTGTGTCCGCCTCCCGCCTCTGCTCTGTGTGGGCATGTGTGTGCACGTAAGTGCCCGCCCCTGGGCACAGATCACCTGCCTGGGCACTGCCATCACAATAGCTGCTAATATGTGGTGCTTGTCCTGCGCACCAGGCGGTGTAACAGGAAATGTTACTCTCCCCTCTCAGAAACATCTGGCAACAGACACTCAGAGAAATGGCTCCTTCGTTCGAGGCGGCCCGGAGTGTCTGCATAGAGCCTGGGCTAAGACCAGCCCCATGGGACTCTCAGGAGTCTAAGTGGTGGGATGTCTCCATCGGCGTCCGGATAGGTCACCCCTCTTGGAAGGAGGGTGCCGTCTCAGTCCCTTGGCCTTGGCCTGCGGGTCCTCTGGTCCCTCAGCAGAGAATCCGTGGGAATGTGTCCCAGTGACAGGTGGGAAAAATGGCCCTGCTCTGAGCATCAAGCAGCTTGTCTCTCGTGCTGCAATTTCACGCTTGGCCCTTTCCCTCGGGGCGGCACACATTCCCCTCCTCTGTGGATCGAACTGTCATGCCAGCTGCCACCCCGAGCAGCCTCGTGGGCCTGACCCCGGCCAAACGGGATCGCTCCTTTCCTCGGCTCTGCCAGGCCACTCTGCAGTTTGCAAATAACCCTCTTCTTTAGGCTCCTAACCCCACTGCCGTGCGTGTTCGGGGTGACCTCTCTCCCACTGGCAGCGTCCCCGAGAGGAGACTGGTGAGCGTTAGAACAGAGCGAGTCCCTGGAGGCTGGAGCTCAAGTCCCTCAGGTTACGGCCAAGGAGGGGATGTAACACAGAGAGGGATGGCTGTGCAGCACCCTCTTCCTCGCAGGGACAGAGTGATGGTCAGAAGTGGTCAGACCTTCGCTCTGGGGACAGATGCCAGGAGAACCCAGGGAGGCTGAAGGGCAGGGCCAGGGCGAAGGCCGTGGGCACTGGCCTGTAGGGAGGGGGACCGTCATGACTTGTGAGGTGCTGCCTCTAAAAACCAGCCAGGGACCACCTCCCGAGGAAAGAAGGAGGGGTTTGGGCCTCAGGGCCATCCCAGGGCATGACACCAGGGCCATTGCAAGGTAGCCTGGTGAGGGGCATCCTCAGACGCACCGGGCACCGCCTGAGCAGCCAGCCATGGCCGTGTCACCTGTGCCAGACTGGAGCTGAAGGGGGGCAGTGAAGGCACTGCCATGTGCCTGGAGGTCCCGGGGACAAGAGACTCAGGTCCCAGACAGGACTGGGTCAGTCATGGAGGTTGAATCCCAAACGGGCTATTTCTAGCTCTGGATCTCTGGGGCGGGGTTTCAGTCACACGGACCAGGATCATACGGTGCCCACTCAGTCTTGAGAGGAAAAGGGAGGGAAGCGAAGCCCTTGCCCTTGTCCTTGGGTTTGGGACAAAGCGGGAGAGAGGCCCACCTTAGGGATGAAAGGCTGCTGTAGGGAGGTGGGGCCAGGGGTGGTGGGGAAGGATGAAGGAGGTCCATTTAGGAGAGGGTGACTTGCAGTAAGAGGTCCCTACGGGCAGGCCTCAGTGCAGTGCAGGCACAGAGGAGGCCAATGGTGGCCTGGGGTGGAGAGGCTGGATGTCTTAGGAGCTGGGCCTCCAAGATCAGCAGCAGTTGGACAGGAAGGTGACGAGGGGCAGGCTTCCGGAGGGACCTGAACAAAGGCTAGGAGGTGGGGATGGGGCAGAGGTTAGTGTGGAGGCACTGCTGCCGGGCAGGCATGGCACGTGTGGGGCAGAGATGCCCCAGGGTACCGAAATCTGTCTGGTCCGGATGGTGGGTTCCTCCGGGGGTGCAGGTGGCTGAAAGGAACTCTGGGAGCATCGAAGACAGAAGCAACGCAGTGAGATTTGGGTGTTTCCACAGGTCCCTTTGGCTGCTACCTGAAGGCTTCTGGGAGGGCGGGGAGAGGCTCTCCCAGGCTGGGAGAGGTTTGTTCTGCTTCCTGCCAGCCTCGCTGCCCCTCCCTTCCTCTCTGTGCCCCTGGGGCCCTCCCTCTACACCTGAGCAGGCTGGCAGGGTATCTGCCAGCCCAGGGGCAGGGTAAGTGGGAATAGAGGGCCAAGCAGGAATAGTGGGGGCAGCCAAGAGGGTCTTGGAACCTCTCAAACTGGGACAGGACCGCGGGGAGAGGCAGGGCTGGGCCTTCCAGGCTGGAGGAACCAGTTTGCTCCCAGGTGCTGGCCTCTGTTCTGAGGGGTGGAGCCAGCCGGCTGGAGTAATCCAGTTAAAAAAAAATTCTGATCCTACATTGGCACAGCTGGAGGACATGTCCAGATGCTCATTTTCCAAACCCTTGTCAACAGGGGGCCACAGAGGAAGGTGGTGGCAGAGCTGGGCCTAAAACCTCTCTTTCCGGGGTCTCAGTTTGGACCTTGCCCCGCTGAGTCAGCTGCCCTCTCACCACCCGAAGCCAGAGCTCCTCCTGGGCCCCCTGCACCTTGGTTTGGGGGAGGGGGAGAGGCCCAGGGTCTCAGGGGAAGCTGGGAAAGGGAACAGCACTGGGCTGCTCAGGACGCTGGGCAGGTGCCAGGGGACCGAGGCAGGCCTCTCAGGCCCAGGGTGTCAAGGTTGCTTAGGGATGCATCTTGGGGAGGGCATCATGCTCTGCAAGATTATAAGTTCCCCTGCTCAGGTGCCAGGGGGAAGGCTGAGGCCACGCTGGATGCCACTATCCTGACTCGAGCCCACTCTACAATCTGCCTCCAGGAAGCCCTTGTCCCTGCAGACCTGGGGGTGCTGGAGCCGGGCAGGCCTGTTCCTGGCTGAGTCACCTGTTCCTGCAGACCGCAGGCCACAACAGGCCCCTGCTGGAGACCCTGTGCGGCCTCAGCCCTGGCTGTGCTGTGATTGCATGAGTCAAGGACAGCGCAGCTCCAGCAAAAGCCCCACTTCAAGCATGTGGCCCTGCGCCCAGAACCCCCTGTCCCGATGGAGTGAGGCCCTTGTGGCCTGCCTGTGGGCTGGGAATCCGGTGGAGGAAACAGAGAGTGAAGACAGGGCTAGACGCCCCTGGTTGGGGCCGTGTCTGTGCTGTACTGGCCAGAAGGTGTGGTTTTCTCCCCTGCCTTAGTACACTGTGACAGCTCATGGCTGAAAGAGGCCAGAGGCCTTCCAGTCCCCCTGGTCATCATGCAGGTGGGAGACCGAGGCCAGCAAGGCAAAGTGTCCTCCTCTGGGGTCCTCAAGGACTAAGAGTGTGACCCCCCCAGAGGCCAGCGAGGCTCGGAGGACTAGGGACTTCCTGGTCGGGCCGAACTACCTCCCAGGAATTCTCTGGGATCCAGGCTTGTGAGAGGGAGGGCCAGGGCAGGGATCAGCATCCTGAGAGCAATATGGATCTTTTTTTGGGCAGCAGTCCTCAGCATGCTCTCCTGGCCACTGGGTCCACAGCAGCTCCTCAAGGTAGGGCAGATGGTATTCCCATTTTATGGATCAGAAAACTGAGGCCCAGAAAGGTTAAGGGTCTGGGTCTGGAATCACACACACACAAAGTTAGAGGCAAAGCAGGAATCAGCACTTAGGTCTCATCTACCCTTGGGGTCAGCATTTCTAAGGAGTAAATTGTGCAACAGA